GGGAGAAAACACCGCCGAGGCTTAACCCCGTCCTTGCCGCGGCGAGCGGCGCTGCCGGGAGCGTGGGGTGGAAGCGGTCCTGGAGCGGCGGAAAAGAGCCGCTTCCGCCTCCTCGGGACGGAGACCGGGTCGCCTGCACGCGCGGGGAGCGCGCTTCAAACCAGGGCTGAATTAGCCGGCGCCGGGTCCAAAGGGCTGACCCAGCCGAACGCTTTTGCATGCAGGTTAACATCAAGGTGGAAACTTGCCAGCGTTTGGTACCGATGTTACCTAAAGCGTGTTCGCGCGGTGGATTTTTTAACACTAAGAACTGGAGGGAACGAGACCCGGACCCAGTCGAAATAGCGAAGTATATGCATTAGGGGATTCTCCCACCCCCACCCCCGTTTCTGCCTGCCGTGCCTCTTTTTAGGGGGAGAAACATGTTGGACTACAACTCCCATCCTTCGCAGCCAGCACAGCCGCTGTCTTCCAACAGATGCGGTGGACCCAGAGCACAGGGAAGCTGCAGCGGTGCAGAATGGTGCGCGGCCGTTCCCCACCGCTGAGCCACACCGCGCTCTGCCCATCCTTGAGTCAGCAAAAAGTTAAACTGGCGTGAAAATTGCCCGCCTGTGGCCAATCCCTTTCCCGCCTCTGATCCCGGCACCGCTGTCCCCTCCGAAGCCTAACCGGTTTTGCACATTTTGAAGCTCTCGGCGCGAAGTGACGGGGCATGGGGGAAAACACTACTTTCCCTTGTCACCCTTGGCACCTGTGGGTGACTTAAGCCTGTCTCGCTCCTGGGCTGGGGGCAGATAAAGGGGACACGGCAGACAAATGTGGTTGTCAGAGCACGCTTTCGGGGTGCAAAGTGCGTATGCGAATTTAAACTGTTTCTCCCTCTCTTTTTCTTTCTCTCTACCCTGCCCCCCCCCCAATCTCCCATTCAGCATTATATGTGGCTGTGACCGCAGGAGGCTTTAGACCAGAGAAGGTCTAAACTAGCAGCGGCTGGGGGGGCGCCCGTCGCTTGGATCTGGGGGGGTGGAGGGTGGGGAACGAAGACGCATCCACTGCGGCAGAAAGGTAAGAGTTGGGCTTGCGGGGGCTGGGGGGGAGAGCCCTGACTTCCCCACGGAGTGCATGAGGGATGAGAATTTGGGGGGGGGGTCAGACAGAGGCTTAAAAGAATAAAATGGCCCCGCTAATAAAATTGGCAGAAGGTGCATCTTGTATCAGTGATTAATTATCCAACTCGCTTTCCGGTCTGTCTTGACCTCTCGTGGTGACAGGGGCAAGTCCACGCGGTTTTGGCAATGTTTTCAGAAGTGGTTTGCCTTACCTTTCCTGGCCCTCTCTCCCCAGCTGGTCTTGTGCCTAAGGGAGGACTAGAACTAGAACTCACAGCCTCCTGGTTTTGGGCTTGGTGCCTTTAATCTCCCCCAAACTGGCTGTCTATTATTATCAGAGTACAGATGTTGAAGCAAAGGAGATTTCTGGGAGGGAGAAGAGAGGAGAGTTGTGTGTGTTTCAAGTGGTGTTTCAAGGGGGGACTCGGGACAAGAGCCAGAGGTTCACTGGGGCAAGAGGCAGAAAAGTAGGAGTGGGGCTCCCTTCTCTGCGGGTTCCCTAACCCTGTTTCCCTTCTCCACCCGCAGACTGGATGCATCGCACGTTGGAACAGTTGGGGGTCCGTGCTGGGCGGGACCCTTTTTCTATCGGCAACCTGGGCTGTAGCGGAGCCTGGAGTTCGTGCCATTCTCGCCCATGGCTCCCGGGGGGCAGGTATTCTGGGCACGGGGAGGGAGGGGAGCGGGATCAAGGAAGAGCTCTGGCAGGGGGTGGGTCAAGTGCTTCTGGTCCCTCAGTCAGCCTGGCGATCTGCTCCCCCCCCCCACCTTTTCCCCCAAGTTGTTTTTCCAAGTGGAATTTGAGAATTTAGACTTTGGGGGAATTGCTGGTGTAGTAAGTTTAAAAAAAACAAAGAATAAACTTTGATACTGAAGTTGTGGGCTTACTAGGTAAATTCACGCATATGCGGATCTCTGCGGAGTAAATGGACTCTGCATAGTCCGCAGCCGTGCAGACATGACCCTGAGCTTAGAAGGCCAGAGAGGCCCCTGTTTGTGGGCTCCTCGGGGGGATCCCCCGGAGCATCTTTTCCGCCTTCACCAAAACACATTCTTTGCTTGGGAGACTCCACCTGGGTTAACCTAAGTCACACTGCGTTTCTGTTGGCGAAGCTTTGCCCTGCGCTTGCCTCCCCATGCTCCGGCCCCTGACCCGTTTGGACTCTGCCAAATCCGCCGCCGCTGCCACCTCCTCCTCCTCCTCCTCCTCCTCCTCTCCCTCATTGGGTGGGAGCAGTTTCGGGGCTTTCTGCAGTGCTTCCTCTCCTGAGCCTTCCCCCCCCAGAGCTCAGCCCTGGCCTGTAGAGACCCCGAACCGTCCCAGGGCATGTACAGAGCGCGTTTTCCACCCTGCAGAATAAACCCGGCCTGCCTGGATTGGAGCAGGGACCTTCTCTTGTCTCATAGTTGACGTCTCTTCTGTCTTTCTTGCCCGCCACGGCCTTCCGCTCCCAGGTGCTCTGCCAGTGCCGTCCAGCCTCCGCTGCCCCTGCCGTTGCCGCCCAGCCATGGTGCTAACTTGGGGCAGTACAGCAAAGGCTACTTCTCCCCTGGGTGAGTCTTGCTCCTGGCCTTTGGGGCACAGCCACCCAACTGGCGGGAGAGGAGGGGGGAACACGCTGCTGCGCTGAAGGCCAAGGCCCCTGCGCTGCAGTTTGCCTTTGGGGAAGGGTGGAGTTGACAACGATCATCCCGCTGGCCTGCGGACCCCCGTCCTGCTAACCCTCTGCTGCACAGTCCTGTCCTTTCAGCTCCTTTGCGGTTCACAAAACTCTGGGCCTTTCTCTCTCCTTTGCTGCGTCCTCCTTCGCCCCTCCCCCGTATCGGCAGGAAGCCCTGTTTCCTTTAAGCCCCCCC